ATACATACATACATACATACATACATACATACATACATACATATAAACGGACACACCAAATTTGTGGATTATATATAAGTAGATACGCGACATTATGCTCTATTAATTCGAGAAAAGCTGGAAGGTGGCGCAGTCATAAAGTGATCTCAATGAACTTCTCCGCGACGGAACAATCAGCCAAAGCCGAATTAAGGATAGAATCTGCTTCTACGGTCGCTCTATTCACCAACAAAAGCTCCTGTTAATTATCACGTCAATTCGGTGTTTGAAAAATTGGCTAGCGAACAGACTTTCTACGGAGTGGTCGACTTGATGGCCGACGTCAAGGCGTGGATCGCCTCCAACAATCGAAACTTCTTCGCCTGTAGAATTCGACTGCATAGCAAATGGAAAGCAGTGCTTGAGGTGGATGGTAAATATGTTCCGGAGCAATTATTCGAACATGCCTTCGCTGAATATTTCTATCGTTTCCGTAAGTAAAATTGCTGAAAAAAATGCGCAGTAATTATGCATCGACCTAATAATTTCTCTTTATTCGTCATTTCGGCACTATTCGACATTTACAACATCACTTTTGGGTTTTTTTTTCAGGTTCTCCTTGTATTCCGCTCGTATGTGGAATTTAGCCACAGAGAGGTAGAGTGCGTCACGGCACCATCACAAAAAAAGCGCAGGGGATCGTAAAGACTATCGGTTGGATCGTAGAGGCTTTTAAAACCAACGAATTCGAAAGTCACGCTGAAAGGGGCAATTTACCCTAGAGCGAGTTTTCAGCAAATTTGTTTTTCCAAGATATATGACACCGGTGGCTTCGACAGGGCGCTAGGAACATTCGAGTCCCATGATACAGAGCACGAGAGCCAGAACACAAGGTGCTACGACCTTCTGAAAGGCTAAGTTGTCAGGCAAGATGCTGTCCTGTGCCTGCATAAAGGTCAGTTTCAGTAGCTGCTTTTGCAGATGGAAGGATCTGGTTTCGCAGTACCTGCTTTTGCGCGGCCGAAGCATATTCTGACCTCCATGAAACTAACATGACTTGGCGACGTACATCTAACAATGACAGCTTGTATGTTATGCATGTGCTTGTCCGCAGTATGTTGCAAGTCTTCCGAAACATCTTCAAAGCAGCTGCATGACTGTAATCTCCTAATGATTACAAACACAATTACCATAGGTACTGTGTCTTCAAAATACTCCTGCGGCTGTCCTCCACCACGCCGATTAACCAACTTTTTGATATCCTTACACAGATTTTGAACGCTCTTCAGGATATAGTATTTCCTTGTGCCTACATATGTTCTCATTTAACACAATAATTCAGTGAGACTATGAAAGAGGAGGAAAGCCTGTAAACGTTATTAAGAGCAAGTCATATCAAAGCACCTCTATTAACGGCCTCGCAAGCTCGTCGCCGATCTTGAAGGTTTTTGCGGTCATAATTGAGCTTTTTGAGGCACATAATGCCATACTGTAAGCTGGCTCGGTGAAAGTTATCGACCATACGTAAATGCGTCCTCAGGTCACGCTTTGACAAATGTTCCAACATTCGTGCGTCTAACAGGCATTCCATGAAGGCCGATCTGAAATGAATTGAATGAAATCTTCAACTGCAGACTGTGAGGTTGACTTACTGATTGATAAAGAAAAAAGAAGCTAGCAAAACATGGCCACGGCAGTTAAAAAGTGGGTAACCACATACACATACACATACACATACACATACGTACATATATACATACATACATACATACATACATACATACATACATACATACATACATACATACATACGTACATTAGATTGTGAATGTTGGACCAGCCCACCTGTACTGTCCAAGGCCTAGGCTTGGTAGCCACTCATTCCCTACCCACTCGTGGTTCATATCACCAAACGCCAACGTCACTCTCGCACATCGTGGAGCTGATGGTGATGTTAGGGCTACCATTTCCTTGAAGTGAGTGGAAATAAAAAGGTGGCAGGAGACGAAAGTTCTCAAGGGAATAAAATTAGAATCATCGATTACCTGGATGGCCAACCGAAGCTTCAGTCGGTGCAAAGGATTACTAATTCCTATTTCTCGCTGAATCTCCTGGTCGCTCAGTGCAGACATTATAGCACCAGACTGCAGAACAACAGGTTTCCCATATAAGAAATGTGCTTTGATGTCACAAATACAAATATAGTTATTTGAAAAGAATAGGGGGAACCGTGATCAGGGAAAACTGCCAGCGTGGGACGCAATTTACCCAATGGGATGTGTTAAGGTTGACATTGGACAGTGCTGTTCACACATTCATGGGAATGTGAGGAAAGCGCATTCACATAGGGAAAAGCTTTCCTCAGGGCTGAACTGAAGTGACGAGCTTCCAATACGACTACCAAGACGTGAATCAACAGTTTGAAGCAGTAGGACAAGATTCTTAGGTTGGTTAGCGCGAAGTGCTTCATACATGGTGAATTATGGTGCAGCGAAGAAAAGGGCAAAGTGTTGCGGGAATTAGAGTTATTGTAGCTAACTTCCACATCGCCATGGGTCCTTCTAATGAACAAATAAATGAGATGTGAAAAAATACCTTCACATTAGCACGGCAAGCAGCTACATACCAAGCCGGCATACCAACCCATAGTTCCAGCCAAGCAACGACGGTAGGACCATTCCATAAGGCGAACGGAGTTCGTGCTTTCATTGCCTTAAACTGCTTTGCTATTTTTGAACACTTCCTTGTGAAAATTGAGCAGAATTCTTGTTTTAAGGGATTTTCAAAATGAGCTTCACAGTGCCAACTGTGATTTCGGACGCTGATCTCAAGTTAATTCACTTCCTGTATCCATGGACAATTCTCAGAACGAAATCGCGAAGACTACCTTTCACAGATTGAGGTCACGAACACACAACTTTTTTAGGAAGTAAGCGCGTCGAGAAACCTGATCGTTTGACTTGATCCCCGCCTTCAATTGACGTTCCGAGAAATTACCGACACGGCTGCTTCAAATCTTTCCAATTCAGATTTCGAGGTATAGGTCAGGAAGCAACAGTGGTTCGTCGTCTTTTAAAATATGGGGACGCATACGAAGATCTGGCAGTTCTGCTGGCACCATTCAATTCTTTGTACGTTTGAATCTTTTCGTGGGTGTGAATCAGAATCCCAAGGCATAAAATATTCCCACTACCGAGCCCACCTCTTTTCAGTGATTACTCAAAATCCGTGCTGACCAGATTCACCAAATCGAAAGGGTGGTCATGTTTGCCCGTCTCCACAACACGAACGCTTCGAACGAACACTTTCACATCATCTCCCGCCGTGAAAGCTAAAGGCCCTGAGCGACTGCGCTTACTCAATGGCGACTTAAATAACAAGTTGACGACGAGGCTTTGCGTGCCGACGGGATGGGGCACACTGTTCACACCGAATAATCGTTGTTCGCTATTGAGCGACATCGTCCAATGTTACACAGTCCATGTTCGAGTTGTAGTTGTATTTATACCAAATAATTATCGGATTATTAGTGGAAAACAAAAAGGAAAATTACGAAAACGGAAGGGAAAGTTATATTCAGTCCATGCTCAAGCAAATTGTATCGAAATTTCGGAGTTCATTTCTGTGTTGTAGTACCACATTCAAAACTTTGTCAAGAGTGATGAAAGAGTAAAATGGTCGAAGAGGGCGTACAACGAAAAGTCAAATATGCTTTCCGAACATCGCTTTTAACCCATTGACCACCGCGTGGCCCGTATACGGGCCGCAGTATTATTTTCCATGTATAACATTTACTTTCAATTTTTTTGACTCTTTCAGGTATCGAGCAGGTTTATGACCTACTATAGAATCTTGACGCGCAGTGGTCCGTGAAACGTTTACCTCTGACTTTGGTAAATAAGAGAAAACAAAGTTACTTCTGAAGGCATTGGTAAAAGAGCACAACTAAAGGCTGTCAACAAAAAAATTACACGCACTTCTTATGATTATTTAGGAAACATTTCAAACAAAAGTATTTGTGGCATTCGCTGCACCTTGACGAAGCTTTTTTGCATGGTTAATGGCATGAGAGCCCCCTTTCTCTTCTCGTACTTCCTAGTAGCAACCTATGTATCTTCTCCTGCTTTCTTCAACCGCTCTCAGATCTTTCCAGTTTATGGGTCGACCATCGCCGGGCATCCTCCTTCTTGTGTCGAAGTCGGAAAGCCCTTTTACACTCGCGCCCACCACTTCAGTACAATTGCTCCAACGTGAATGATCACAACATTTACTTTTGAAATGGATTCATGTGACACTACTTCTCGAACTTCGTCAGAGTGGTTATAGAACAATTCTGGAAAACACTGTCTCATCTTGAGTTCGTCATTCTAGGATGTGCGTGCCTGGTTAAAGAATGATAGAGAAAGAAGATAAGCATACATATCAAAGGCTTTCGACACTAATCAGAATCTTATTGGTATTATTAAGAAACTAATTTACTTGCATGCCAATTTCTTCAGAAATGATTAGAAAGTCATTCTAGAGAGGACTGTCCGAGTTGAAAAGATCGGACAGTGCTCTCTAGAATGATCTAAGAACTCCTTTTAGCATTATTGAACGTTTTCAAATAGATCTATGAGCTTTTTCAAAAAGAACCTAACGTTAACCCTGCTCCCTATCGCGGGCGGAGATTTGCTATGCACGCGTGCCCACCATCATAAGGCCCTGCACACTCCTTTTATTTTTTCCAACCTCCACGCCCTGTTTGGATGGAGTTTTGAGCCTGTGGGGAGACTGCCGCCCACTACCCCTCCCTCATTCTATTTGTTGACCTGTCCCTCCACTTGGGCTATTTTTTTCTCGGCGTCTGGGCTGTTAGGAACCTATTCAAGTTTAGCCCATGTCACCACCCACACTTGTGCATGTTCCACCCCTGGAGGCGGAGCTTCTCTAATCTCACATGTGCTCTTTTGGTTTTGCCCTATGCCCAACCCATCTCAAACTTGACCCGACTTATTTTAAGAAGTTTTGCCCGTGACATCACCCAATACTGTGCATGCCTCACCCCTGAAGTAGGAGCTTCGCTGAGCTCAAATGTGTTCTTTTGGTCTTGCCTTCTCCCTAACCCATTCCAAACTTGACCCGACTTATGCAGGTGCTCCCTAAGGTAATATCGAATTTCTGTACAATTGAACAAACAAACAAACAGTTAGACGCAAGCGATTCCCACATGATGATTAACTGTCGTACAGATTTTGCCCAAGCAAATTTGGAAAAACTTCATCTAGCTACTGAAGTATCATGAAGTGGATAGTTTTTTGGAGTGCGTAAGCGAAATTCACATTAAAAATTAGAAATTTTTATAGGATTAGATTTCTAGTGATTTCTATGGATTTCCGATTATGATTCTACGTAAAATTACGCGTCTATTCTGGAAAACAGATTAAATGCAAAGGTACTTTCGATAGAAATTCCTCGTGAGCAAAAAGGGTTTTTTTGCCCACGAAGCCTATTCTCTCTCCTTCCTCATTTGGCTGCGAACCGATATTTGAGTCGTCCATAGTATAAGTATTCAGCACGACAGAAAATAGTCAGGAGAACGTTTGATGTATAAGAATTAGGTGATATTCCCCAATTTGAACCGCTTTGTGGGTATTGATCTCTTGACACCAATAAGTGATCGTAGAATTGTTTCCATTCTGAGCTTCTCTATATCCTAGGGGTTTGATTGTCCTGCGTCGTGGGAGGCGAATTCTGATTTTTAGTCTGTGACGTCATCAGAAGAGCATCGGCTAAGTTCCCATTTCATAGCTGTTTTCTCACTGCGCTCACTTGATCCCCACACTCTTGATCGCGCCTACGTGACTTTTGCGAGGACACACAAAGGGACATACAAACGGACACACAAAGTTAGCGTTTTATATATATGGAGGATTGGAAAGGGGGCTGAAGATATCTTGAAGTAAAGATCCCACAAGAATCATTTAAAATTCATTGAAGTGAATACTTCTTTTTATGTCACAGAAAAGTCTCCACGAGTTAACGACTGCTGTTTGCATGACAAAATGGAAGAAAACTCAAATACCATTTCGTGGCACGACACACAAATGGAGAGTAATCTGACATCTGATCGCTCTGATCAACTAATCCTTTTAGCCTGTTGTAGTCTTCAACTACTTTGGATTTGCTCGATTAGCCACGTTCACCATAATGCGATGTTGATATCATTAGAAGTTCTCTCTTATCCTTCTACTTCATAACAAGAATACCGTCCTTATTGTGTAGGCAATATATAATAGCTCCCCTTTTGATTTCTCCTCTTTCACGAGCAGTGGAAGTTCGCTAGATTCTTTCTCAAAGTAGCAACTAGGTAAGTTCTTCTTTCCAAAATTTTTTCGGTTAGTCCAGTAGAGCTGTACCAGTTATCACAACAGAGCTGTCTGCCGCTGTTCAAGAGACTATTCATCAGGGAGAAAACAACAGTATATGCAAGTAGTCCGGTACGGAGTTCAGCATCGGAGTCCAACAGTAAAGCTCAAAAATTTTCATCCATATCGGCACCATCGCAGTATTTGGGATCCATTATCCTGTGAAGGAAAATATAACCTTTACTTGAGGCGCTTGACCAAATTTGTGTAAAAAGGATTTAAAGGGACTTTGCTGAGGTATCCGATGATTCGAAACATGCCATTCTCATCTTGTCTGTTTCCACGTGTCTAGACAGAGTCGCATTTGGAAATGATTTGGTGAGAACTCTCACCCGTCTTTGAACAATCAGAAACAACATTAGATGCCATAACGTAGCTCTAAATAGTGCGTATGACTTATAACCTTTACATGCCACATTTAAAAAACTTTTGTGTCGGCTGGAAATGCTTACGAAAAAATTGGCTTGCTTCTGGGACTGTGTGGCCCGCCAGCGAGCCACAGCAGCAGTCCGCGAAAAGCGCGCTCGGTCCCACACGCCAGTCACGCCGAAAAGGCGCGGTCGCCAATGGGTTAAGGAGAACGTTCCGCTATCCTCTTGAGCGTATGAACCATGCGTAAAAATTATCAGTCAGGATGCGCGGAGAGCGACGGTGGGCGATGCGCGCAAAACGTATGTCGATGTGTTGCATCCCGTCGGGAATTCGGAAACCCTGATCTCTCGGACCAAACTTGAAAGAATGCAGGTGGATGTCAATTTTATCACGAAAAGGATAGTCTGACGTCAACCGACCGATCCAACTGCTGCTTCGATATGAGCTAGGGGTGATTTTTCACTCGATACTGATACCGAATGGATCCTCGCTCGATCCGAACGCAGAAAAAGGGGAAGATAAAACGAATTCTCAGGCAAATAGAATGAGGTTACTCATCGTGTAGTCGATTTATTACAATGTTGTCAGTCAGCATTGTTCGATTTCATCCTCAAAGTTTTCGAAAATAACCACGTTTGTGCTGTCGTATCACCTGTCTCACCTGTCGTCCCGATGATCATCGATATCCTCGAGCGGGCGACAGTAACGTCTCCATTAGTCCTTGTCGCGAGCCAGAGTAGTCCAGTGAATCGCACTCATTCGAGGGACTCGGTTCAAGACACTTCTTTCATCGAAGCTTTCGTGAAGAAGTCTGACCAGCGCGTCACCACCCGTCCTCGTATTCGTTTGACGCCCGAGGGATCTAGTCTGTAAGGGTGTGGTGCGATTCACGCGTTGAGATGACGAGGTCGTCTCGCGTGAAGGGCGGGGCCTGCGGTGGCTGGCGCGGTGCTCTGAGGAGACCCGTTAGAACGCCATGCTTACCATCATAAATCCTCAAAGGCCCAGTTCACGATAAAACAGGTTTCTGAGTCCTCCACCTCGGAATACCCAGTGGCCCCCAATGATAACAGGGAGAACGCTGTCGCGTCCTAAAACTCAACAACTAGGACATAAAGGGAGCCCCACTACCGGATCCCCTGCATGCCACGCCCATCGACCGATGATGTGTCAGAGGAGTTTCAAGGTGATTTAGATTGCAATGTTGGCACCAGGACCCAGTTAATCAGTGCACATTCAGCACACAATCAGCTGATCAAAGAGTAGAGAGACTATAATTTTCTCCTTTTCCATTATTCTCTGTTATTCTTTTTGCTGTTGCGGTCCTTTATTTCATTTTCTACCTCGGGGGGCTGAAAAAGATGGGCTACTTTTGCTGTTACTAGCGTTTTTGTTAAATTATGCTTGTGAGGGAATGGCCTTTCAAGGACTTTCTTGCTTACTGTAGTCAGCTATTCGCACCAGGTGTCACACGTACGCAATGATACATATTGAATAGCTCGTCCAACCCCTTTTTAACATTTTTTGAACCCTTTTATTACTTTGGAAACGCCGATTTGCGCACTTTCTTCGCCACCATCGCACTATTTTCCACCTTATATTCCAGTTTTCGTCATAATCTAGATTACCCAAAATTATCGTGAACTGTGCCTTTGAACTCGAAGGGACTTCACTTGCATATTAGAGAGATTCGCAATAGTTCGCGGTGAAGCCATGGACTAGTGCAAATCTCTTTCAGTCCAACCCAACTGAAGTTCAAGGTAGCGACCGCAACGAAAACCGTACGAAATCTGCCGCGCGGTGCGTCGCGTGCCGGGTGCGCGAAGGGCTCTAATGGCGTCACGCGTGAATCGCACGGTCCTTGACTGTAACTCCCGTGGTCCAACGGTCATCACGATATCGCATGACGTGCCCAGCCCACCTGATTTCATGGCGCAAACAATGGCATTCCTGAATTTCGTTCGTTGATGGAGGTGTGAACTCCGGAGCCCACTCTGCACTTGTGTGTAGAAGGGAATTCCAAGCATCGTCCTTTCCATAACGCGCTGAATGATGCCACTGCACGCTCATCCTGCATTTGTAGAGTCCAAGTCTCTGGTATGCCAATGCAGGAAAGAACGCGGAGTGTGAAAGGTAAGCACAGAGCCGGGTGTTCTTTGCTTTCTTCACTACTCCCTCGATGTTCTTGAATGCTCCTCTCGCCACGCGTTTCCTTCTGCTGAGCTCCGGTGCTGAGTCGTTCATCATATTGACTTCACGGCCTAGGTGCCCGTATATAAAGCATTTAGAGCTGTTGGTTTCGTTCAAAGCGAAAGTAGCATCAGACACTAATCTGTTTCGCATAAACATCGTCTTCGTTAGATCTAGTCGTAATCCAATCTTTCCATAGGCAATGTCGATTCGGCCAGCATTTGTTCCGCCTGCTCGATGTTCGATGTTGTAAGCACCATGTTATCTGCAAAGCGGGGATATTGCAGGTACAATGTTCTCGGGAGCGGCAATGAAGTATGGGCGAAATGGTATCGCCCCGTCAAACTCCTCTCGTCACGTGGACAATGACTTCTTTATAGAATGACGAGATCCTAATCATGAAGTTGTAGAACTTACGGAACATCCTTTTATAATATATCTTGTATGAACACCCTGATTGCCTAGGGCTCCAATTAACGCAACTGTCTCGACACTATCCGAAGTCTTCTTTAAATCGATGATTCAGTGAGTCGTGTGAGAAAAAGGATATGATTTATTGTACTGAACCCTCTCCGAAATCCTGCTTGCTCGCATGGCTGTCCTACACCGAATATTCTGCCGATCCTGTCGAGGAAGACTCGTGTAAAAAGTTTATAGGTTACAGACAGCAGGCAAAATAGGCTATAGATGCCAATGTCGTCTGGATCTCCCTTCCTATACAGCAACACGGTCTGGCTCGTTTTCCACGAAGAGGGCACTTTGCATTCCGCGTGAAGAGCCTAGCCAGAGTTCTCACGATAACTGGTAGGAGACTTTTAGATGTTCTGGTTTGATCCTGTCGGCACCGGGCCCCGTACAACTTTTCATCGACGTGACGTTGTGTCGAATTTCGGAAAGGAGAACCAAAGGAGCGATGTATCCGTCTCGCCTAAGGTGGTAGGTAGGCAGGCAGACGAGGCTGTCGGGGAGATCAGGGGGCGGGGGGAAGTCGTAGATGACTTTCTCCCACCCTTCGAGATGCAGTAACTCTTCCGTATGGGTGACGAAGGAAAGTCATCTTGGTCTTTTAATCGACGAAGCACCGGCGGACTTCGCCAGTGCTCATTCCTGAGTCGGCGGGGTCTTCCAAAAGTGCCGCTCTTCTCTCTTACAAATTTTCCTTTATCGCTTCTCTGCATGGCTTCGCAATTCCAAACGTTAGCTGGTCATTGCATGCAGCTCGCGCGATTCCATGCTGGCGTATCAGCTCGAGAGTTTTCAAAGAGATGTACCTTGGCATCTTTCGAACTCTCTGCTTTTTTGGCACTATCGTGAAGATGTTCGACGACCTGGTGATATTGCTGATCAACATTGTCGCTGACGGAACCTTCCCACAAACTCGCAAGTGAAGCGAAGTGATCCCAGTTGACAACAATCTTGGGGCTTCGTTCCTTGAACATCGCACCTCTCTATCCACGCACTGGAAGCATATTCTAACGCGGAGGAGACGCTAGTCCGATCCTGTGTAGAACCTAAAACAACAGCGACGTCCATCGGGCAAAACTTTCGACTTAAAATGATGTGATCTACTTCATTATGGCAATGTCATCCGCAAATGAGAGAGCTTCTGAATCTGCAGACGGAGACTTCAAAGAGGGTCTCCCCGTAGAGCCTCTCCACATCCAAATAAAACGTTTCCATCCTTTTATCGTAGCTCGCTGTTGATGCGTAGACAACGAATATTGTTAGAACTGGAGTTGAAGCACATCTTCTCAATCGCAAACGTCCGCTTCGAGTTGCCAGACTTCCGTACGAATCGATATTCATGGCCAAGTGCGTGTTGACGAGGACACCTACACCGTCGACGAATCTGCTGTCGCATGTCCCAAGAATTAGTTCTTTCCAGTCTCAAACGTATAGCGTGCAACCGTCTCGGACAGTTCGATGACGTCGTACTTGATCTTGCTGGCTTGCATCATAGGATCTTCGGTTGCAAAATGTCTCTACTCTTCATATCCACCATCTATAGGCTTCCCTCAACTCCATGCCCTTTCGACAGAGGGGAGAGCGGGGAGCGGGGGGGGGGGGGGGGGTCGGATGACTCATCTTACCGGAATACTCCTTGTTAGAGCAGCGCCCTCTGCTTGGCCAGAGATGAACCAGTATGCCTCCATTGACGTTTTTACAGAGAAAAAAAACAAAAGAGCTATCGGAGCATTGGGTGGGCAACCTATTTACACACCAATACAAAATGTTTGAAGCACAAAAGTTTTTCACAGAGGGAGCAACGTAAGAAAAACATCACATCCATCACTCTCACAGTTCCCGTCCAGATGAGGTGAGGAACAATATCGCACAGGGGTTTCGAATTCTCCCGGATCCCTATCTAGGTAGTCTGCTGCAAACCATGAATAAGAGGAAAAGTTTTTGAATCTAGGTGCGCTAAACAAGAAGTACACTAATGAGACAAAACGGATTATGGAGTCGCGGTTGCTAACATGGAAATCAAGGTCATGAGCGATAACACAGGATACAATACGTTTAAACATGGCTTTAAATGGCAAGAAAATGTAGATCAAGAGGTTGGATTTGGGATGTTGCGGCAGGCGGAATGTTGAGCACTTTCACCACCTTGCCAGCTGGTACAGCATCCTGAATCGCTTCATGGTCCTCGGATGAGCTCCATGAATCGACAATCAGAAGAGACGAAGGCAAATCCATTGATCCAACACAGGTTCTGACCCAGTCCACCATTAGCTCTACGCTCATCATCTGGGATATACTTGCCCTGACCTCCAAGTTTGGAGCGCGAAAGCAACCTTTGGCCGGCCTTTGGGTTCCTGTTAGAATAGACAACGATGAAGAACTTTACCTATAGTTTTTTGAGAACCCTAACCTGCATTACCACAGAAGGTTCCTTTGCCAGGTGGCCATCACCAAAAAGGGTCGGCATGACGGTAAAAGAGTGGGACAATGCTGAAACCAATTGTGCCACCCTTTCGACTTTCTTCTGACTCATCAGAGCAAGGGTGCTCGCCGAATGCAACTCTCTACAAACCGCTTTGGCCCGCGTTGCATATATTATAGTATCCAGGGACTGTTCTCTGGACTTGAAATGCACCCATGTTCGACAACCAATGAGAAGCAGAAAAAATCCTCTTATTGCCTTCCGCTGCTCTTCAAATGTGAGGGAAGCCTGTAGATGGTGGATATGAAGCGTAGAAGCATTTTGCGAGCGTTTAGGAGATGTTTTCTCAAAAAGTGAAACGAGCACAAGCATCAAGGATCTGAACCTCCATGACCATCCTGAGAATCCGCCGTCGTACCAACTGCTCCATCGCCGCACATTCGCTCTTGTTTTCGGTTGGCTTATATAGGCATCTCGGTGCGTTCAAACCAGGGGAGAAAATGGTCCCATAACTCTGATACCAGAAACGTTTGGCAGATTTGGAAAGTGGATCTAAGATACTCGTCTGGAGACCCATTCGGCAGTATACATCTCATCTTAGATGTCCACTGCGACCTAGTATCCTTCCTTTGTTAGTACTTCTAATTCTAGGCAGCCTGTTATGGCCCTGAAATTTTAGCAGCCTCTCCAGAGCGGTCCTATCCACCAATCTTTGACGAGAGCTTTTGGACCACGCAAGCCGACATCTCATGATAAAGACGAAAAGCATTCTTGTCCGGTAGGGATATATTTCCCCACGCGAATCCTTGTCCTTAGTCCAGAACACAGAAATTCAGACGGTGTGCTGTCGTACCTTGCAATAATATATCGATTTTCTCGTACGGGATCCGTCCATTCTTCTTATGGCGAGTCAAAGTAGAACAGCGAACTCTACTAGTCTGAGGAGATGGCATTCCTCTCGTCCTCTCTTTCAAAGCTCTTGTAAAATCTGACCACGGAATGGTTTCAACTTCCCATGGAACTTTGAATAGTGCCTAGGTATATCGATAGCGTTTGGAAAGCCATTAACAAATTAGATACTAAAACTGCTCAATGAGTCCATCAAAAAAGTTGTTAGCGCTCAAAGTTTGCATGGGCAAAGCATGCAGAGATAGTGCCAGTTGATATGGGCAGTTGCTCACAGCGCCCGCAAGGGTCTCCGTAGCATAGTGGCAGTGCTCTCCCTCTCCGGATGAGCGATGAAGGTTTGCTTCCCGTTAGTGTTCTTGTCTTTGCAGCACGTGCTATTCTTCTAAGGAAAGCTCTTCAATCGTTTTTTGCTACTAATCAAAGTTAGCGCTTTGTTTCGGCTGTCATTTGCGATCACTTATCCATATCTATGACCTATCACAGCACTTATTAAAAAAATTCTTCGTGTTACTTCTGTAACGCTTTTTTATTTTCAACGTTGAAACATACACACCCTCAAGTGGAAGTCACACGCGAAAATTCAACATCGATGAAACAACCCAAAAAGAAAACGTGTATTTTTTGACCTCGATAAGATTGTTTTGTACATGGTTGTAGAGATACGTTTCCTCTACACATTTTTTGGATTGCTTCATCGATGTTGAGTTTTCTCGTGTGTTCGTTGTGTGTTTCACTTGAGAATGTGTAAGTTTCCATGTTGAGAATAAAAGAGCGTTACAGAAGTAACATGGAAAGTGCGGTGATAGGTGATAGATAAGTGATCGCAAATGATAGCCAAAACAAAGCGCTAACTTGAATTAGTATCAAAAAACGGTTTGAGGGCTTTTATTCTAAGGATGTCACGTTTTGCAAGAACAAAAACATCAAAGGGAAACAAACCCTCATCGCTCACCCGGAGAGGGAGAGCATTGCCACGAAACCTGGAGACCCCTGCGGGCGTTGTGATCAATCAAATGCACATATCAACTGACACTATATCTGCATGCTTTGCCCATGCAAACTTTGAGCGTTCCCAACTTTTCTGGTAGACGCATTTAGTAGCTTCAAGTTCTAAATTTGGTAATGGTTTTCCAAACGCTATCGATATACCTAGGCTCTATTCAAAGTTCCATGGGAATTTGAAACCTCCCCTGGTAAGCATTGGGCTGGGCGTCGTTTCCTTGCTCGTTTGCGTCCAGATGGGCCCAGTCGGTCTTCACCCAGGTTCAATAGTCATCATTAAATCACGCTACTTATCCGACTCATTTAACTTTAACTCTCCTAGCGTTTGCAACAGCGTCCCGAATTTCTTTTTTTCAATGATTACTCATGATGCGGCACGACTTTTTGAGGCGATCCACTTCTTTTTCTCTTCGCTTGTTGCAGATCTTGTTGTGAATTTTATTTTCTATCTTGTCCCGTAACGATGACCGTAATGAGCGCGTGTAATGTTCGTTCTGTGCGCGTGTGTAATGTTCAGTGCGCGTAATGTTCGCGTGAGCTCATTAGTTTTCCACCTATTTTTTTCAACCATCTCATTTCAACCGCAAGCTGGTGAAGTCGATTCCACCACCCAGGTGCCGTCCATCACACTGGGGTGTCGTCCATCGCACTGGGGTGCCGTCCACGGCCCCTGGTATGAATGCGCAATGCGCTTGTGACTGTATGGATATGAGCGGTCGTACTGAACTATTTGAGACCCCGCTTGCTCTCAGTGCTGTCTATCAACCACTCTTCTGCCAGTTCCGTAGAAGACCACTCTGATTGCAGTCTACAGACAGCAGAAACACTGAGCGATGACCGCTAATAGCGTAGAGTCCTACTTGTTTTCACGATAACTAAAAGGAAGTCCTTAATTTTTTTTCACTCTACTGAGCAAAACACTGTCTTACTAACTCTTCATGCCTCTGCATGCCGGACTTATACAGGGAGAACTGAAGGAACAATATGTCCACCCCGTCCTTGTTGGTGATAGATTGCAAGGCAGAAAAGCTGTTGAAAAGATCGGAGTGAAAGTTTTTGAGGAATTTCTATGTTGTCCTCCGCGATGCAAAGACTACTCTGCCCTGTAACTGGCAAAACTCCGAAACGCTACTTTTATCTCCGACGGCTCAGGCCAGAATTCTAAATTTCTCTCTTTCATCTTATCCTTTGTTTCGCTCTGCGCTAATTCGCAAGTTTGAATACTGATCGTAACAACTTGCAGGTCTTGGTGACCTGCAAACTGATCATCTGCTGTTCTCTGTTTATTTAATGCTAGCGAGCAGACGACCAGGACTGCCGAGCTGAGGCCTAGTAGCTCTTCTCATTCGCGGAAGTATTACATCCAATTTGCGGAAGTTTTACATCCAATTTAGGTTGTAAGACTTCCGTCTGAATTGATGTTCACTGTGAAATGTGTCTTGACAGAACAACTACATGCCTCTGCTATTACACGTTTGGAGAAACAATTCATCTCCAGTCTCGAAAACAGCGCGTAGGGAGTGATTCTTTTCCCTTCGATGACCTCATCCGGAACCTTCCTGTCATGTATAATTATAATACATCCCGAATTTATATTTCCGATACAAACATTTTGCACTGAAAGTACAAATCGCCATCTTAACCCTTCTTCTTTTGTGCAGCCTGTTTTGACCCCAATAACGTAGCAGCTTCTTTCAAGCGTCCCACCTAGGCGGGTGTGAGAACTGAATACACTCTAAGTGTTAGGTCTTACAAAAGACAAGAGGCTTCTTCGACTAGCATGAGCCGCCGAACACCTCTGAAGTGCTTCTTCGTCACTGCAGTGCGAGTTCTTGTGCAAGCTTACATGCAGGATATCGACCAGCAAACTTGTCATACGCAGATGAATGGAAACGCATGCGAGGAGACAGAAGACATAAAATCACTCAGCACAGGTGAAACTAGGCGTCCAATTCCTGAATTCCCTGGAATTCTGGTCCGCGCTTTACCTGTTATCCGCCATCCGGGTTCCACCATGTAGCCTCGCCACCAACCTGCTCGAGATCTTTCTGTGAGGGATAAGTCAGTAAAGGAGATTCATATGGAAAGAACAAAGGAGAGAAAAACATCCAAACCACACCAGTGCAGCGACAAAATAACAGCGTTGGCTTAACTCGCTAGAACCTGAGCAACTGCATCAACAGAATTTCTCATTCTCATTGTGTTGACTTGACAATTAATCTAAAGTTAGCCCTGAAGTTAAAAAAAAAAGATCGAAGCGTTCAAGAGCAGTTCCGGAAATATACTAAACTACGAACGGGTGCTTCAGCCCGAAATTCTTCTTTAGTGAGATGTACAAAGATAAGACATGGCGGTTTCTCGCATTCCGTAATGTTCCTTATCCAATGGTTGTTAAGATGGGATTCGCACACCAATTGCCTTCCATGGTTACATACTGGAAAGCAGCCGAATTAGCTCACCTCCTCCAGCAACTGATGCTTTTTCTTTCTTCGCCGATCGTAGTCAGCATTGCGTGCCGATCCATCACCTCCAGAAGAAAGTTCACTATCCGAATGAGCACCTGCATCTCTCCTAGTATAGAAAAAATAAATTCATGAAACATAATCAAATATACGGATTGAAAGAAGTACAGACCTGAACGTGTCACTTTGGAATTTTTTCTTATTGAATAACCGGCCCAACGTTTTCAAACCGCTTGAACTTGAAGAACGTTTCTTCTTGATTGTATATCCGTCAATGGAGGAGGCCACAGATGAGGCAGGACTCATAGTGTCAGCCTCGTCAGCGCCTCCCTTCAACATATTGGAGTTTGTTTTGACATGATATTTTCGACTGTGTAAGCGATAGAGAGCACGTATTCCCGAGAGCGCAAGTACGGGTTTGAGTCTCGGAATAGGCCGGAATTCGCCTGGCCCTAATTCACAAACCTCTAGAAACGATAAAATTCGTTTCCTCACATGCATACAAGCCAATTCTTGCAGACACGACCACTGCAGGGTGTATGCCCAAAAATAGGCCCGCCTATTTGATACACTACACGTATATATAAGGTTTCTGCTGTCAAATTGAGCACAAACCATACAAACATAAATGCATATTGACTCCGTTACATGACTAGACCTGGAAATGGTCCCTTGGTGATAGAACAAGTGAGAAATGTGCGCAACATGTCCAATAGAAGCGTTTTCCAAAAACGAGAACCACAGATCGACTTAGTACCAATTTCGTTGTTTTTGCTGTGGAAACTCCCAAGGTGCAGGATAGGACCCAGAGCAAACTCACCAACAAATATTTTGCGAGAGCAAGCACATGGTATTAGAATACTCTGGGACTAATAACAGTCTCGAGCTATACGACTCTCCACCAATAACAAAAGATGAGAACTTGTGATTACCAGACAACTCGATTGTGAAACATCAAAACTTCATCGGAGAGATCTCTTTCTCTACTGCCAAGCTTTCGCTGAAGAGCTTTGAAGAATGAAGCAGAGAAGGGTTTCGGTTGGACGGTCAGCAGATTGAGTCCCTTTACAACATCCCTCAAGCTTGAGTCACCTTGTTGCCCAGCCTTGACGCTTTCAAATACGAACAAGATTTGGAAATGATCTATCTTGAAACATTCTCACTTCCGTGGAAGTCCGTCTCAACAAAAGCAACGTGGGCTGTCCTACTGATCGAATTATACGGTTTCTTGGAACTGCTTTGTAGCAAATTCTCATGTTCTTACGTTTCTCCCATATTATGCACACTCAAATGTTTCCGGATCCTTGACACACTGCACCCAGCGGTTTGTGCCCTATGGAACCCTTTGATATGGAGGCTCTCTGCACAAATGCCAGCTATGGGTCTGCTATGCACCCAGTACTCGAGCTCCTTGGCCAGCACCGGAACTGCACGGGGTTATCTTCATATATCTCAACTGATGACGCTTCTGAATGAGTGCATCAGGTATAACATTTTTAAACGGTCGGGGAAGTATTTCGCAGGCCAGAGGCTTGTCTATGGGACACTGATTGGCCCCTGTTTTGGCTATAGCATCATGGCCAAAGTAGGAGCTTCCGTACTGGACACGCCTCTACGCAAAACCGTAAGAAGTAGATTGGTGTTATGGCCTACTCAATTCACAACTAGAACATCAAGTTAAGACGTGAAAATCGACCGATTCCTTCCTGAAGGTTAAAGTGAGATCACAGGGCAAAATGACTGCTACGACGTTGTACAGAAAGCCACCAATAAGAACACTACTGCCCATCACCGCTCAGCTAACCCTTGTCAGACAAAATGAGCCATTGCTATTAACATGCCCCCTACTGCTACGGTCCGTACTGGAGACGATGAGCGAAAGATTCGTTGGGATTGGCGCGCGATATTGCTCAACTAAATGGCTACTACAACTCTCCGACCACACATGGGGCTTCATCAGGAGGCGTGACCCGCAGTAATGGCGGCACCTTCATTAATGGGGAGATTCCTTTTGTACTATCATCTATCTCTGATAAGGTCAGCACCGCTATTGGAAAAATTTAGTTACCACTATAAACGCATCCCCTGGCAACAATCAGAAGAGCCTGGTTCAGAACAGGCTATACGATCTCCCATGTGCGACCTCAGTGAATCATGGGTGGGGTTGTTCACGAAGTAATTTGCATTAATTGTGGTGGCGAGTATACTGGCGAAACCGCAAAATCACTTCACGTGTGCATCGGTGTTTCCAAAGTGGAAAAGGCTTCGAAAAACCGTTAAAAATGATGATGGACGAGAATGAGACTAGAAAAATGAAGAAAAGTGGGGCGTTTGGACAAGCTATACATTGTGTCTCGCTGCGTACGTGTGGGTCTTGGCGCGAATAACAGACTACGGCGAGCGAAAATTCTTTCACTTATAAGCATAAGTAAATAATAATCCCTAGTAACAGCAAAAGTAGCTCACCTTTTTCAGCCTCTAGGAGTAGAAAATCAAATAAGGGATCGCGGCAGCAAAAAGAAAAATAGATGAAAAAAGAATGGGTGCGGTAACCTAACCAAAAATGGATGAGGAAAGAATGCTGCACAATCACGCAGAAATCACGCCCTCCTAGGTTGGCCTTTCCGCGAAGTCTCCGAACGAAGAGCTATCCCAGATGAGATTGGTTGGTTGCTACAGCGATGTTGGGTATCTTAGAATTAGCTACGTTGGTACGGTACGGTACGATTGGTGGCCCTCCTTAAAATGATGTATGTGCCTTGAGGTCTCGAACTTCAGCAGGCAGTGAAGTGGTTTTAACGGATAATCACATATTGTTACGATCCACACGGGCTTTGAAGGAGATGCTTCGGACGAAACATCAGCCTAGTAGAGATTCCATATGACCCTCGTGAAGACTTCAAGAAAACAAAACAATAATACAGCAGAAATGCCATGATTCATGGAAAGCCGTTCGGGCCAACTTCAGGACTGTGTTCCATCGCAAGTCGACATTTGTGCAGTAGTAAAGGTTCTCAATAAGGCGCCGAAATAAGTCATTCATTCGTTCATTCGTGTCATTCGCATCTTTTGATAGCAATTTGTTTTTATTTTTTACAAAGACGAAATTGTAAACATCTGAAGAACAACACTAACGTTATGACTGGAACTCGACTTTTTCAGCACAAAGGCAGATTTTCTATGAGTTGGCAAAATGTGACACCCTCTGCATCCATTTCACGCGATTTTTCTACACTGTTTGCGATGACGCAGTATTTGGCATAAAGAAAGGTATAATTGATATAATTCTTGAGCCACCCAGTGGTCTTTCGATGGTTTCTTCATTAGTTCTTATATGTTAGTCAAACAAAATCTTAATAGTCATAATGCCAATTGTCACCAACGCATAGCATATTACGTTGCACTGGATGTTCTTGTAAATCCAATGAACTTGTGACAAGATATGATCTTGTATGTTTCTCAAAAAAGTTGGCTGGAGAGGTGGAAGACCTTTGAACGTCCTCGACCCTTGATATGGAATTTTTTCCTTATGGATAAATCAGTCCGAATTTTCAGCTCGCCTATTGCTAAGAATAGTGCGATTCGAAGGAATATCTGTGGAGCACAAGTGAAAGCTGATTCGATTCACATATGCCTTCTTTTATTTCTGAGCACTGCCTTCCCTGTTCCGTGGTTTGTATGACATTGTGAATGGCCTTCGGAATCTATAAGTTATGCGCCCATGAGACACAAGGTGTCAGTTCTCTGAGATCACAGCGCTCACGCACAAATAATTTTTTAGACTTGTTTCGCTTTACACTGCAAGTTCGTTTAATGAAAAGCTTCACGGACTATCAAAATTCATTCCAGCGAACCGTTTGCTGAAGCTCATCCGACACAGTTACACTACAAGCGGAGTCTGAATCCTGCCGTTAAACCAAAACAGGAATGTTAATTAACAATAGATAAGACAGAATTTTGGAGTAGCATTGTGTTTTGTCGTCAGTCATAAGGCGAGATTTTATATATATATATATGTATATATATATACATATATATACATATATATACATACAGCACTCAAAAGTATTCGGCGAAAAGCTTCTTCAATTGTAGTTTTCAGTAGTAACTTCTTTCCTACTTGATGTAATCATCACGAAATTTCAATATGCGTAGCATTGATGTTCCTCTGAACCGGTGCTTTGTTGGTTAGTAGAATAAACTAGTTCCACCACTGGACCGTGTATTTTGCTCGTGTATCAGAGAGACCAACAATCTCTCTGAATTTATCAAAAGGCGCCACCCTTCCGCCTAACTCACCGCATTTTCTGGTGCATCGGCTAAAGCCGTTCTAAGGTCAGCAAACTGCCTGTTCTTGTTAATCAGTTAGCTCAAAAGCGCAAACAACAGCTTTGCGGAGAACAGCGTTATTGCGTTGCTGTTTGGCAAATTCCTAGTTAAATTTATCAGGCATACCTCACCAGATCGCGCGAAAGCAGCGAATTATTTGCTAATTCCAACGGTCTCAGCTTATCTCATCTTTGTTGAAGGAGAATCGCTCGAAAACAGCGTAGTTTAGATTGCCAGAAGGATGACGAGATTCAAGCTTGAAGGCAGAATTAGAGAAGCACAAAAGCATTATCCAGCAGCATCAAAGGCCGCTGGACATTTTGTGGAGCACCTAGGAGCAAATTGCGGTACCAGGTTGGTCAAGGCTGGAACGCAATAGCATCAGCAATGCTCAGTATAACGGACAATTGTATAGAATGGTTGGCACAGACGGGAGAACAAGAGGGAATCTCACGGCAAGAGCTGCAACGAATTCTCCAAAGATGGAGTGCGTATCACGAAATACGTCTTATGACGCTGTCAGCAGCTTAGATAGCGATAAAAGGTGAAAAAAGAGCAGAGAAAGTACCGCAGCGTGGATCAAGGTCTAGGAATACAATGGTATATTACTTGAAGTTCGTAGCTTCATGTGATGTGTTGAATGTGTCTGAAAAGGAATATTTGGTTGAAGATTTTGTGGAAGCCTTCGAACATGAATATCCCAGCCAGTACTGTGGAGGCAAAGATTGTTGCTCTTCAACCAAATCAAAACTGACGGATAAAGCAAGAGCGCAATATGATGCATTACCTAAAAAACGTGACTTTTACACATTAGTTAACCCAGAGATGTGTGAGGAAGAGTCACGCAATAAAAAGGTTATCATATTAGGTGAGCTAAAGCGACCCCAACAACCAGGAACACAGTCAGTGGAAGATTTAGACATTTAGCTGGAGAAACTGACGGTCGAGCCTACGCGGAATCGAGGAAGAAATTTTAC